TGGTCCAGTGAAGGAGGGAAAATGAGAGACAGGGAAGGACAGGGGCTGGAGGGTATAGCAGATCTGAGCTTCCTCAAGGCCACCCGACTAAAGCGTGACCTCCTTTCGCTGCACGTTTTGTTCTCAGAGCTTGCATTCGGCACCACCCCACCACCTATCAAAATGGAGAGAGAAATAGTTCCTATCTGCCAAATCTTGCAAGCTGAGCAATGACCCAGTGAAGCTCTTTGAAGAGTCAAAAGTTCATCGTCTCACTGGGACTCGTGATGCCAAACAACATTTGGAGCCCAAACACAGATAAGCATATTGCTACTGTCATCATTTTCTTCAATTAATAATTATTGAAAATGCGTAGGAATCTCAGGAAGGTATAAGGGAGAGTGAAAGAAAGGGCGAAAACACCACAAAGACAGCCTCTATGTGACACTGAATACACAGGGAAGCATCAAAAAGGAAGGCTCATTGCCCTGATGCTGACCTCTGAGAGTACGCTGTACCTCTGTTATGGCTCTTTAAATATTACTCCCGGACACACCTTGCCTTCCAGACTCAACTGTAAGCTTCTAGGGACGGGGCTCTGGCCTTGGGAGATAATGCACGGCAGCACCTAAAAGTACCGGCTGGCATCTAAGCATCACTCTACCATTTAGCAGCTGGTCAACCTTGGGCAATTTATTTATTCTCTCTGTGCCTCAGTTTCCTCATCTGTGAAATGGAGATAATAACAGAACCTACTGCAAAGGACCACAATGAGGATTAAGTGAGTTAATACATAGTAAGTATAACCTACGGATCATCTCTAAATTTCCTATAGGGACTGGCTGGCATGTCTGTCACACATTAGATGCCTATTAAATATTTGCAGACAGAATGATCTGCCCCTGGAGTTGTTTTCTCCATCCCTCTCACTCCTATCCTAACTTTCCCATCTTTTATGAGATGTGCATAAGTCTCATTCTGAGACATTTGGAGGAATACAGATAGCCCATCTAAACAACTCAGGTAAAAAAAAAAAAACACCTTAAATAATCCTCAGATTTTCGCTAATTATATTAAAACAGACTGCCCACTGACAGCAGCAATGTAACCAGATAATTTCCAGGCTTCCCCTTCATTCTGAGCCACAAAGGCTTGCGATCTTTCACCCCAGAGTCAATGCTCACTAATTGTGAATTTCTTTATTTTCTATGAATATAAAGTATTAATATAATTGGGAAGCCAAATTGTTCAGAAAGCTGTGTCGTATGTGTGTGTGTGCGTGTGTGTGTGTGTGGTGTCGTCACATTTAAAAGAGTCCACATAAAGCCTCTGGAAAAGCCTCTAAAGCTATAAAACACACCCAATATTAATGTGATTTATCAAAGTACAATAAATGAATTGCCACAAAAATGAACAATCGCTCCAGAGTCAAGTAGATGGCACAATGTGATTTCCGCATATCACATGAGAAGAATAAATCAACGGTGGGAAAGATCAAAGGAAATGCTGGAACTGTTGTGAATATGTACGGGGCCTCTCTGAAAATCTCCTTAATGAAACTGTTTAGAGGAAAATAGAGGGATCATTTGTTTAAATGAAAAGAGGTACCGCATGTGCTGAATTTCAAAAGCAGCATTTTCATACACACACGTTAGGTTTAGCTAAAATTAGCTCAAGTTCCTATTTTTTTTTAAGGTCTTACAGGAATAATGGTTTCAACAAGGCTTCATTGAGCTGAGTTTCCAAGGTGCCTGAGCTTCTAGGGCAGACGCCCCATTACCCACCCACGTATCATCCCCACTTCTCCACCCACCCTCCCTCCACCCAAGGTCTTGAAGAAGAAGGATACAAAGTCTGTGCCACATTCCAGCTGCTCTCACTGCCTCTTCTCTACTTATTCTACGCCAGCTGATGTCATCCCTGAAATACAGTCGTCCCCTCCTTTCTACCAGGCACAAGAACCCAAAGCCCAATTTCAAAGTCCCTTTTATGCCAGTGACTCCTCCAAATCTATCTACAGACCTGACCTCTCAGCAATTTATTGCCATCCTCTCTACTGTCTGCTGGACTCCAGCAACTCAGATGTCCACTGGCACCTGTGCTTCTGCCAAAATGGCCTCCTTGCCAGTTACATACTGTGAACTTGCTTGTTCTGTCCAGGTCACTTCGATGGTCCTCCTCCCGCTCTATCCTTGTCTTTCCACAGAAACGATAACCAGCCTTCAGAGTTGAACTCAAATGATCCCTCCTCCTCAGTCTTTCCTCAACATCCTCCTCAGCATCATTCTTCTGAATTCCTTCTGTGTTCGAACGTACCCCGGTAAGTACAACTCACCACATTCTGCTTTGTCTTAGTTATTTCAGAGCATTTCTTCTTTCCCCTACCTGACCACAAAGAATACAGTATAGCCTCTTTCTGGCAGCTCTTCCTTTCACTCCCACAGTACCGTGGAACAGTTTAAAAATGCACAGTGAATAAATGAATGAATCATTTCTTTACATAGAAGAGTGCCAGTGAACAAGTTAGATCATAACTTTTCTATAGCTATATCATCTTTACAAAATAACCAGAATGAGAAAAAATTGTAATCTAGGTTTTAATTTCTTAAAAAAGAAACAAAAAAAACGCTTAATGAATATAACAGACTACAACCTGAATGATACTATTTCCCTGCTCACGTTTAACCATCAATTCTGAAGACTGTAACAAGGCTATTATTTATGCAAAATGTTTAAATAATGCTTATAAGCTTCCTTTAAATGCAAACACAAAAAATGTCAGCTGCTTAACATTCAAGGTGACGCTGCACTACTTTGTCAATAATACAAGTATTCATAAGACACTTGGACTTGTTTAATATACTATAAAAGCCTTGATCTTGTCTCAATAAGCTTGCACATATTGACCAAGAGATATGACTTTGTCATGCCTATATTTTCACAGTAAAATTCCCTTTTAAATACCACAGGTTTAAAACATTTGTGTATGTATTAACCACATATGCAATTAAACTGCTTCCACAAAAACTTGAATGTGAGGCTTTTCTGCCTAGCATGTAACTGGTAAAATAGATAACACCCCAAGAGATAAAGTAGCAGTAAGGCATCACACCACTTTCCATTCAGCTGACACTTGTAGACCTTAACAGGCTTACCTTTACATGTAACTCCAGGGTTATTCTATCTCCTCTCAAAGAACATCTCTCTAACCCACAGCCAATAAAATGTGAAGTACCTAGTTCCATATTTCACAAGGATATAATGTTTGTGATAATTTCCTCCCTCCTCTGCCCCGCTCCCCCGTAACAGGACTGCTCTATCCTTTCTGGGGCAGAGTGTGCTTCAGTCACTCAGGTTTCTGTTTGTCTTTACTCAGATCCCAAATCATTTCCTTTATGCATGCAACTCATTAGTTCCTCTTACAACATTATTAAAACAATACATATGCATCCTATCACAGTAAGAGAGTTGGACGAACATAAAATTCAGAAAAATAAATAAAAGCTCATTTACTTTGCAGAGCTGCAAATGTCTACAGTGTTGGTCCAAAGACCAAGGTACAGGTATATTTACTTGTTTCTAGTCATGTATGGTCCAAGAGCAACCATCACAAAACAAGAACATTAAAATCACCACCCTGGGAGGAGATAATTTGCTTGATCACAATGATAATTTATGTTCATTGATCACAAACCATATGCCAGGCACTATCCTACCCTGTATATATATATACTGTTTCATTCCATCCTCACAGCAGCCCTGGGGAAAAGTTCTAATGCTGTGTCCATTTTCTACATGAACAAGCTGAAGCACTGAAAGGATACAGGATGGCCAAAGGCCACAGTGACAGCTCCAGATGTAAATCCAGGCAGGCTGGTCCCAGAGCCCCATGCTCTTATCTTAGATGCCACAGAATTTATATGGAACTTATAAACTGGATTTTAGGTGTAGACAGGGAGTTCTTTAAAAAAGCTGGGGAATCGTTTTCAAAATGAACATTTTGGTAAAGCAAATAGCCACCTCTCAACAAATGATTTGAAAATCCAGATTTTTGTATGTGAGGTTTGGTAAAAAAGTAGACTTCGTGTCTCACCAAGTAAGGAAATAGAACATGGCTCTGGAAGAGCTGCCTGGAGACCACCCAATCCAGCAGTTCCCAAACCTATGGAGCCTTGGTATGATTCCAAGGGACCATTCCATTTAGTAGGTCTAGGGTGGAGTCCCAAATCCTATTTTTTAAAGCTCTCCAGGTGATTCTGTTGCCCAGCCAGGCTTGGGAACCTCTGAGCTAGTCTATTTCCACAGCTTCCAAAAGGACTGCTCCCAAGACAAATAGAAAGAGAGGATCTATTTCACAATTGCCTTTGGTTGCATACACTAGTGTTCCCAAGCCCTTATTGCCCCAACTTCTGCGTAACTTCTATCTCTCCTGACTTCATTTAGACAGTATCCTCCCGTCCTCTTTTCCACCGAGACCATGAGTCATCCACCCTGCATACACCCTGTGTCTGCATGACTCTCCAGGCCAGAAAAATTTACTGTATGTGAGAAAATCAGGAAGTTGTAAAATCCAAACAGACACAGAAATTTTCAAGATTCAACAAATACTGGTTGCCACTGAACAAACAGGCCCCTGTCTCCCTACACATGTGTCATGCTGCAACAAAAGCCTACAATATGAAACTGTGACTTAAGATAACTGGTAGCAAAACATTCTTATCACATTAAGTAAAGATGACAATTAAAATGATCAGGCTCAAGCACAACATGCAATAATCAATCATCAGAAAGTCAAATGTTGACTTTTTCATTAACCAAATGAGTGAAACCAAACAGAGAGATACTTTAATCCAAGTTTTATAAAAACTCTCTTGTCAATTTCTCCATTTCCCGCACAATACAGTTTGCAAAGACAAGTATATTAAATGGTCCACAAGGTGCTAAAGCATGGCTAGTAGGCGATTTTTCCAGGTCAGACTTTATCCTCAGGTGGGAACTTCAGAGCATCGCAAAACTCTCACCTGATAGGTGATGCACTTCCCTGTAGTGGCCGTGGAGGAGGAGACTGCTGTACAAGGATGACAAACAAATCTGCAGTGTGATTGGACCACCCTGGTGACTTGCTGCACGATGCTACTGCAATGGTCCAGGGAGTGCAGGAGAGGAAATTAAAATGAAAATCAGAACAAATTACTTTAAAAAATAATTCCACTTAAAACGACTATGCACTCAAATCTTAACTTTAAGAACATCAAATTTTGCATTTTGTTTCATGAAAATTACACAGATACCAGCCCACTCAAAAGGCAGATCTGGTTGTATTCAACGGGGCTCAGAGGGAAGCCAACATACAAAAAGGTCATCCCTTCCATCAAATTGATAGCTTGGTCTCCCATTTGAGCCAGCTACTGTCATTCTTTTCTCTAATGATTCTAACCAATCATCTGATCAACACATGCTGGTAATCACAGGAATATCAGGTGAAAATGGGCATGGGCTGAATAGTAATTGAGCCAAAGTTTAATTTTAATATGGCATATATTAGCATGCAACTTAAAGGGACAATCATGAAAGAGCACAGTTATTGGCATACCAGTCTAATGGGATAGAAAAAAGTATCAAATGCAGAAAAAAAAATTAAAGTATGCATATATTCACTAGACTTTCCACTAAACTTTAGATTACTTAATTATTGAATGCATGGCTACTTCGTTTTCATTTTGCCACAGTGCCTTGCACATGGTTAAGTGAAAATTATCCACTGTATGATGAATGAGTGAATGTGTGAATGGATGAACAAAAGAGAGAATGAATGAATCTTCCATATACCTTTCCATCAGGGAGCTTGGTGCTTGTAGTTTTTGTGAAGTAAAGACCTATGCATAGAAATGGAAGAAGTTGAGGACTTGATCTGCTAACAGTTTTCAGCCCTGTCTATGAAAATAATATTTTTAAATACTGTTAATTCCCAATTATCCACATTAAATAGGATCAGTAGCACAGTTATTATAAAATATTCCAAACTAGTCATCGCTGGGCTGATTTCCAGTCTTTGATTACTGGAGCTGACCTGCGTGTTTGGTTAGGCTGATTTTAAATTTAGCTTGAGCTTCCTAAGCCCACACCAGGTAACAGTAGGAAGGAGAAGGCCCAGGATTATTTTGGGTGTCAGAAAGAAACTATTCTGGAGCTATGAATATGATCTCCAATGTGAATAATCTGTAAACAGGTAAGTGAGCCAATTATCCTTGGGTACATGGCAACACATCTCAGTAGTCATGATTATTTTCATCCATACACACACACTATTTTTAAGAGCATAACCCAGCTGGAAAGAAAATAATTTCAATTGCTTTCCAACACTTTTCAAAGTAATGAATAGTAGCCAAAGTATTCTTACTTCTAACTAATCCATTCACCAAGTATTTATTTAAGCGTCTATTGCATGCCTGGGACCGATAATCAAAAGAAGTTAGTTTTCTAGTCTGTGATTTTCCCATGTGGAATCTGTGAGTACAGAGAAAGAAGGTGAGCTGTTCTAGACCATAACATCTTTGAAGACACTATCCCTCTGCTAAAAAGCTTGTTGAGTTACAAATCTGAATAGTGGCCAAGTTAAACAGAACCTCACAAAATTCTATTTACTCTCACACAGTACTTGTTTTAAGGGGAGGAGTCTTGATTTTATCTAGTAAAATCAAATGGAGCATTAGAATACTGAACAATCATTTTTGAACAAGGTGCAGGTACCGTGGATTTGCAGACAGTGCTTGCTTTATAAGCTAACAGTTGAGAGGGTGTTTGCCTGGATATTGATGTGTGTGCACACAATCCTATTTACATATCACCTGGCAGATAAGGTTTTTATAGAGTCCAAATTACAGTCTCCTCCTATTCTGAAGTGCAGAGAACAAACATGATGCAAATGCTGTAAAATATTAATTTACTCTCCCATTGGTATGCCTACTTATTTCAAAAATATGTGTGCCCCTACATCAGAGTAATTAAGAGAGTTAACATAATATGCTGTATTCCATCAGAGGGAAGAGACACAAGAATACAAGCAAGGCAGAGTGGATTTGTTGCAAAAAGAAATGCAAGCAATATATAGAAAATAACCTATTGACTGTTTTATACAATACATACACTGAAAATGGAATATTTAGATAGCACAGCAGAGCAGCATAACACAATACCATTAATAGAGGAAGATTACTAACAAAGATGGCCTAAATAATACTGAACTGATAGGCTAGTCAATCAAGAGGAGATAATATATAAGTAATATAAATACAGGAGATAATATAAATACTTTGGGGAGAGTAAGTGAAAATGAAGGGTGCAAAACAAACTGCCATATAGGGTGACAAAAAAAATTTATTTTCTTTGAATGTTAGAAGCATAAATGCTTATAGGTTAGCAGCTACGACAATTATCATTAAAGACTTCTGTTAAATGGCTCCCTGGAAACATGTCATGTTAAAGAGCACCTAAGTGGAAAAAAAAGAGTTCCGCTTAGCCTGATTCAAAACACCACATTCAGGAAAACCTCTGCCCCCTTAAGTTTCAAATTCTGATTACATTACAATGAATTTTCTGAAAAGTAATTTTCAGGTAGCATAAATTTTTTGCTTATGTTATGGCAATTATCAATGCATTTTCATTACTCCACAAATGGGATGCATTAAAAGTTATAAAAAAATCAATGAAACATTTCTGCTAACATCAAACATGTCAGAAAATATAATGCTTGTTGCTTTTTCATCTGTAATAGTTCTAAACATGTTTTAGTACTTGTAATAGACAAAAATATATAAATTATGAAATAAGAAAAAGATTTTTAAAAACTGTTTCCACAAATATTTACCTAAATCTTTTTATTACTCCTGTAATTTTAAGCATTTATATATATTTTTTTCAATCTTGATCCAATTACACCTCTTTCAGTCAACATCTAAAAAATGCTAAAACTAGCACTCAGTATACTCATTATTATATTATCTCTTAAAGAATTTTTGAATGAGTATTTTATTAAATTGAAGTAACCGAAACTAAAATTCAAACAGCATAATTTACGACAACAAACTTCATTCTTAAAAACATGGCAGTCCTATATGTAAAGCCCTAGAACAAAAATTATTCTCTCTACTGGGATTTCTAGGATTTATTATTTTCGATGCTTTTAACAAAATAAGGAAGGCCTGCTTCTGATAACTTTGGAAGTATGACCAGAACCAACTCTGTTCTTTGAAGCAGTTAAACTACTTCATATCTAAATCTCTCACAGAAACCAATCATTCAAATTATTGAGTTATTCTGAAAACATAAAGGAATAGAAATCAAACTATCTCCCCCCCCAAAAAATGATATTGTCTTGCTGCACTATCCTTTTACACAGCAAGTACTTAAGCTCTTCGGAGTCTAAACTATGTGTTCCTTTCAGACAGCTATAGTTTAAAGAATTAACATTCACGCCTACGTTTACTAAATTTCAGGGTTCTAGTAAAATGTTTATTGACTAACTTCTAATAGGAAACAAAATGAGCTGGTGTCACAATGTGTTAGTCATCAGAAACTATCATTGAAGTTAAGTGCCAAAGTAAAATCCACTTGACATTTCAGAATGGGAAAAAAAAAGGCACATTATACAAAAGGAATGTGAGTCCTTAAAACTCTGTAATGACAACAAAAACAAGAGTCACAGAAATGTGTTCACTAATATTTTAATAATCTCTTAAGGCTGACCTTTCCCAGGACTCCCAGACAACGGGTTAAGGTATGTTGAAACGTAGGGCCCTACAGGTATTTGACATATAATCTGATGGCTAAGGAGTTTTTCTCAAACCTTTCTCTAAGAGTAAAAGAGGCCCTAAAGTCGATTTATGTTTCTGATACAGTTTCACTTCTGTTTACCAAACCCTCTTAAAACGAAATCCAGAAAGGAAAACATTAACTTTCACAGTTCCCAATCAAGTACATTTTTCATATTTATATTAGCATGAATTTGCACATTTAAAAATACATGTTCACATTCTATTGCAAATAAAACAATTTTCTGTATGTTGCTAAATATCATCCAGGACCTCCAAGGTGTTGTGTAAAACTTACACTTCTGTGCTTTATTTTACATCTCTGCTTCCCATCTATTTACCTCCTAGGAATAATAGCTCATTTTAACCACTGCAAGCTTGATCTGAGCAGGCCACAATCAAGTTACCAACCGCATAAGCTCACTAGCAGAAATCATAACTGCACCCTCACCCAGAAATAAGTAGCTCTCTCAATCCTAGCCCTAGGAAAAAAAAAGGCTTTACCAATTTGTCTATGGGGCTATAAAACTGTAAACCAACTGGCAGATTCACAACTAAATCAAGACGTGATTATTCTCAATTATTTTTGCTTTCAATATCAGGGTCACTAAAATACTTCCCTCTATTTGGATTGCCTGAGCAACAGAGAGCTTCCACAACCAAAGCTACTTTTCTCTTTCTTTCTTTCTTTCTCTTTTTTTTGCAACAGCATTATTTTTCTTTGCTTAACAGGCTTAATAAGGCGGTGCCCTAATGCAAAGAGTAGACTGCTACTCTCTAAATTATTAAATGCTCATTAAATTATATCCCAAAATAGAGTACAAGTTGTTTATTATGCAAAAGCACCACACATTATCAGTCTAACAGCTACAGGCCTGTATCATCTTCCCTGAGACAAAAACCTTTTAACTTACTACCACAGATGTAAAGATCATGGCCAAAAGATCCAAATAAAGAATGAACACATTCAGAATGTCTGCCTACTGTCAGTCCTAGCTTTTGCTATTATGATGGCTGTAAAGTTTTAAAACAGGCCAGTGGGGATATCCTTCCCAAATAGATTCCTTCTGCTGAATAAACCCTTTAGAAAACCATCATGACTACTGGCAACTTAAGTTCTAAAGGATGAGCACTTTCACACTTGAAAGGGTTAAGTGTCTGCAAGGCCAATGGCACCAGAAGGCAAAAGAAATGTTGCTTTAGTCAGCTCTGAAAGGTTTCTAACAAGTACCAAATACTTGTTGATCTGTTCACAATAAACACCAGCAGGATTGTCAGGCTCCTTTCACTGTCTGGGGAGAGACATTTACATACTGCACCCATAAGAACAGCTTGTTGGTCTCCTTTATAAGAGTAGCTAGCGAGAGAAGCCTCATTCAGTATCTCCAGTCCAAATGACTGAAAGAAGACGCAGTTGAAATACTGAAGTCTCTCGTCTGGCTTGGGCGGCACAAATACTGTGCATAAAACACTTGGAGTAGTCCAAGCACAAAACAAACCCACCTGAATGGACAAGGAACACTGTCTGTTGCCATGGCAGCCTGATCTAATTACATGAGCGATCGGGGCTGGAGTAAGGGCACGGAAAACCTACACCACTGACTGTACCTAGAAGAGGAGAAAGACAGGGAAGCAGGAGGTTCAGGGGAGACTTCAACCTCTGCTTTAAGTAGAAGTCCATTTGCCTGTGGAGCTGCTAAAATACTGACTGATGCATGTACAGTTAGAGGGCAGCCAGAGGAGATTAAATGCCACAGCATTAGCAGTTATGGTGCAATCCCTCTCCAAGAGTTCATGTGCAGGATTTTCTTGTCCTCTCTGGTGGTTTCCCTGGGCATAAGCTTCATTTCAAACAAAAGCTCAACTATCAAACTACCTTCACCCACCAAATAAACCACAAGGGGGGCTTAACGGGGGGCTTCTAGGAACTCCAGGGCTCCTCAGAAACCCAAACAGAAATGTAGCTTAGCTAATAGTGTTGAAAAGTAACTAGCTGAGTCTAAAAATAACCATCAAGTAACTACCCTCTGCTGTGTGCGATATGTAAGGATGATGTTTAAATATTAAGAACAGCCTGCATTATAAAACACAAATGTCATCGAGCTGTGACTACTAGATTGCCAAAGGAGAACTTATTTGCATACACGCATTCCCGGGCATGCACGACAGAATGTGCAGGGAGTATATGTCACTCTAAGGCATTTGATTTTGTGGGTGTAATGGGGTCTTCTAATTTCACTAATTGTATCCTGTGGATCTCACAGGGAAGCGAAGAATCTCTTCGGGTACAGAACCAGTTTGGAGGAGTCCCTACTGCACAGCATACGGTAAACAAAATAAAAATAGCTTGCCGTTCTCGTTAGCCACATCGTGCATTATATAACCAGCTTCCGACTGGTCCTTTTTTTTTTTTCGCCCTTACTACTCACTCTTCAGCAATTTCCCAATCTTCCGAAGTATTTATATTACCCTCTTATCTGTAGGATTATATACTAAGAAAGCAAAACAAAACAGAGCCTCCACGGGACTAAACCGAACCTCACAGTCCTTAAGAACTGATTTTTTTGTTTTCTGGCAGGATCTCCTCCACCACCCTACTTCCACCACCCCCCACACCCACCAAGGTTCTTGCTAATCTCCCTAGAAAACCTGGATTGTTTCATTGCTTCCAGTCAGCCCCCTACGTGGTCTGAAATAAAATGAAAGCACAAGCCACGGAGTTTGGGCAGGCGGCCTGCGGGCGGGGGGCTGAGGAGGGGTCAGGCGCTGCAGTCAGCCAAGTGGCCTCCGAGGGCCCTCTCCCCATCGCGACAGCCCCCGTGGACGACCTCCCACCCCTCGGCCCCCACCCCCATCCGCGCGCACACACACGCACGCTCGCTCACTCACACTCCCGCCGCGCTCCGCCACCGCCTCACCTCTCGCTCCGCCCGCCCGGCCCCTTCCCTGCCCCCTGCGGGGCTGGCCTGCGCGCTGCGCTGGGACCACGTAGGAGGCGGCGGCGGCGGCCGCGGGAGTGGCAGCGTCTCCGGCCGGGCCCGGAGTGAGCGAGCAGCGGGACTCCGGGGCGCATCCCAATCTCCGCAGCGCCTCCTCCGCTGCCTCCCCCTTCCCCT